CGCACCTGAGTGTTCTGTTGCATTTTGGAAGTGTCCCGTTCACTTCTGAGCATTTGATTGTGCGTTTTCGGAAGAGTCCCATTCACTTCTGAGCATTCAATTGTGTATTTTGGAACAGTCCCATCAGTCCCATTCACACCTGAGCGTTTGCTTGTGCATTTTGGAAGAGTCCTGTTCATCCCTGAGTTACGTTGGTTGTAGCTCAAAAAAATGACATGAGCTTTTTGTGTGTGTGGTGGTGGGAGGGGGCAGAATCGCATGTTTTTGGGCTCAGAAAACTTCAATAGGAGCACCTGTGCAGGCAACAGAGTGTTGCATGAGCTTTGCCGCATTTGATGTAATATTCTCTGTGATTGTGTTTTTTCCTTTTGCTATTTTTGTACTGTCACTTTAAATTTTTTGTTAATCTTTTCACTGTTTTTTATTCCTCTGAAAAAAACCCCCGAAAAATACAAATGTGGCTTAGGAGGGGCAGGTTTTGTACAGAAACAGGTCCTGGATAGTTGATAGGAGTTTAATTCATGCAGTGTCCTTTGTATTTGTGTTATTTTTCTTTTTTGCTATTTTTGTAATGTCACTTTAAATATTTTGTTTTTTAATTTCACGGTCTGGTTTTTTTTTTTCTCTCTCTGTAAAAAAAAAATAAAAAAAATAGAATGAAGCTAACCGGTGTATTTTTTTTTACAAGTCCCAGCTAGTTGATAGGAGTTAATTTATTTCCTTTGAATTTGTATTGTTTTTACCTTTATTGTATTTCGTTTTTTTTCTATACTGTCACTTTAGGTTTTTGTTCCTTTTTTAACTGTTTATTTCTTCCTGTGTAAAAAAACCCCCATAAAATAATGAGGCGACGAGGAGCGAGTTTTTGGTATAGGAACAGGTCCTGGATAGTGGATAAGAGTTTATCTTTTATTTCGCCCTTTGTATTTGTGCCATTTGTTTTACCTTTTATTTTATTTGATTATTTTTGTTCTGTCACTTTCATTTTTTTATGGGTTTTTTTTACAGTCTGTTTTATTCTTCCTGTGAAAAAAAAACCCCCATAAAATAATGAGGCTCACGGGGGATGGGTTATGTACAGAACAGGTCCCACATATTTAATAAGGTTTATTTCATGTAATGTGTCCTTTGTATTTGTGTTATTTTTACCTTTTATTGTATTTGTTTGTCTGCTTTTTACTGTCACTTTAATCTTTTTTTCAAAGTAAAAAAAAAGAAAATAATGGGGCTGACAAGGGGCAGGTTTTAGGTACAGTAACAGGTCCGGGATAGTAACCCTCAGGAGCATTTAACCCTTTCACTGTCAGAACTTTTTTGTGTTTTTTTTGCACACATTAAAATGCACCTTTTAGGCCTGAAAATGACTTTAAACCCCCCAAAATTATATATTTTTATAAAAGCAGAGACCCCAGAGAATAAAAGGGTGGCAGATGTCATTTTTTTATGTCACATGATATATTAGATAAAATTGTCATCTTAGTTTCTACACATACAGTACCTGTTTGTTTGTTTTTACTTTTTAAGTATAAAGATGAGGTTGCGTTGAGTAAATAGGCACCAAATGGGTCCTGCCCCCAAATTGCATGCGCCCATTAAATAGTGAAAAGCTACAGTACCCCAAATGATCCATCGGCAAGGCTTTAGAAGCTTTTATAAGCGATTCGTTTGGAGTTAATAGTGAGTGATGACTGGAAAATGATTGCCCTCAATCCAGTGTGTGCGTGGCAATACTTAATATGGGTGTCACAATCATTTTCATGTGTGTGTGTACCCAACGTGCGTGTTTGCATACATACAGGATGTGCATGTGTACGCTGGAGAAGGGGATTTTAATGTATTTTATTTTTTGGAGTGTTTAATTGTTTAACTTTTTCACTCATGGTAAAGGGGGCTGACAAGCAAGGTGCTGGTGACAGGTCCTCTGTAAGGAGACATTAAGGGATTATTAGACTGTGCCTATTGTTGATGGTTTATGAGAGGAGGGACTAAAGGGGGGCACTGGTGATGTATGGAGAGAAAGGGGGGCACTGGTGATGTATGGGGAGAGATGGGGACGCTGGTGATGTATGGGGAGAGAAGGAGCAATCATGCTCTGCAGAGGGAGAGAGGGTCACCGATTATGTATGGGGAGAGAGGGGACACTGGTGATGTATGGGGAGAGAGGGGGCACTGGTTCTCTGCACAAGGAGAGGGGGGCACTGGTGATGTATATGGAGAGAGGGATGGCACTGGTGCACTGTAGAGGGGGGGCCACTGATGTTCTGCAAAGGGAGAGGGGGGCACCCTTGATGTATGAGGAGAGAGAGGGCCACTGATGCTCTGTAGAGGGAGAGGGGGGCACTGGTAATATATATGGAGAGAGGGATGGCACTGGTGCACTGTAGAGGGGGGGCCACTGATGTTCTGCAAAGGGAGAGGGGGGCACCCTTGATGTATGAGGAGAGAGAGACGGCCACTGGTGCTCTGCAGAGGGAGAGGGGGGCACTGGTGATGTATATGGAGAGAGGGAGGACACTGGTGCACTGTAGAGGGGGGCCACTGATGCTCTGTGGAAGGGGAGGGAACGCTGGTGACGTATGGGGAAAGAGGGAGGGCACTGGTGATGTATGGAGAGAGGGGACACTGGTGATGCATGGGGAAAGCGGGGGGCACTGGTGATGTATGGAGAGAGATGAGGGCACTGGTGCTCTGCAGCGGGAGAAGGGGGCACTGGTGATGTATGGGGAGAGAAGGAGGAAGTTTTGCTCTGTAGAGAGAGAGTAGGGAACTGAAGCTTGGTGAGGTTAGGGTGGGGGACATTGGTGCTGGACCCGTAGTGCTCATGTTGGGATGGAGATCACTCTGCACAACAGAGAAGCCGAGTCTCCTATGCTTGGGTACAGGTATGAGCATATCATCACCCGGCCAGCAGCGGGACACAGCCCGGATCTGCGGGATGCCAGGATTTTGTTAAATCCCAAGACAGTCCTGTGGGTCCCGGGACTGTTGGGAGGTATGCAAGTTATTAAAAGGCCTTCGTACAGCTGAACCATGAATATAAAGAGGCCTCTACTATAATACACCTGATCAGATTTAAAAACCAATTATATTTCCAGGGACTATTCTCCAAAACGTGGGAACAGTTGGTAGCTCTGCAATGTGAATTTGTTCCTCCAAAAACTAATTTGCAAACAAAAATAAGAACTGCAATACCACTTCTTACCACTAGGGAGCTACATTAAATCATAGATGGCTCGAGCTGTGCATGTTGAATGTTGCTTTTTGTGAAGTGCACATCAAACACAGAACAGCCAATTCCAATTTACTTGAATACTGCGGTGTGGATGACAGTGAATGGGTTTGATCTGCTATGCGTTGCATTTCTTTTGCACCCAACAGGTCCTATCGAGATGCCTTTACATTGCAGGCAAATCAGATCAGACGCAGCCTTTTCCTGTGTTTTGCGTTCAAATGCAGTGCATAGGCAGCACGTCTACGCAGGCTCTCAAGACATGTGTACACTGGGTACAGTTAAAACCACATTTAACGGTCACAATAAAATCTGTGCCAATACAGTCGATGGTCCTGGAACCACAAAAAAAGATAACGCAGATGTGCGAACATTGCCATGAATATGAGGCCCAGATATCAAAATGTGTGTTTTACTTGCTGTTTCTTATTAACTGCACCAAAAGTGTGTCTTCAAATCACAAATGAATTCCCAATAATTTTTTTTTTGTTATAATTTTACACTTAGATAGTAATACTCAGACATTGTACCGCTCACATAACTTCATGTGCATTGCAGAGTTCCTTAGAAACCAGGGCAGCCATATTGAGTGTGGCAAGGTAATGTCCATGCGCCCATACACATACCATGCATACATAAAACATTTTTATCATGAATATCTAAGTACAGTTTAATGGTGTTGCTGCTAAAACTCTCTGTGGTTTGGTTTAAGTACAGTGTTGAGGATCCCTTGAGTACACCCATCACGCACTTGTGCGTTTTCCCTAGAGCTGTGCGGCAGCCATCTTGAGGACAGCTGTGGAGAGCAAAACCAGCATTTTAGATTGTGAAACATGGACTTTCCGCGCAGCGTAAAATTCAGTTGCATGTATATACAGTGTGTGTGTGTGTATATAGATATATATATATCTATATATAGATATATAAAGATATATATATCTATCTAAAAGGAAAACAGT